CTTTGTCTTTACATGATTGCAAAAGCTGTTGAAAATTTTGCCCATGGATAAACCCTGCTTGTAGTAAGTGCTAACTAAGCCGTCATTGTTCAAAGTCTGAGTCTCCAAGAGCTGAAAGTCCTGTGAACCATAGTAAGCTGAACGCAGGAGCTTCCAGGAGCCGCTGAGCAGCGGTTGCTCATGCAGACGTCCTTCGCTCCCTCCTTTCCTCTTCCTCTTCCTCTTCCTCTTCTTTTAGCTGCTCTCTTACGGTTGCTGCAGAGTACTGTCTCTTCCTTTCCATAGTCCTACCCGTAATGAACCCAGTCACTGGTGAAGTGTGAGGGGCTCGTAATGAAGGACGTGCACAATTACATGATGTTTTCAAGTCCGAAGTTAGTGGGTGGAGAATAGGGGGTCGGGAATGCAGAGGCCACAGCGACTGGACTTGTGACCTCAGAGCTGGTGCTGGCTAGTTGCCAAACCCACTGATCTTGGCCTTTCCCTTTCTGCCTTCTAGGACGGCAGTGCTCCCTATGGGGCCAGGTACGTGGGCTCCATGGTGGCCGACGTGCACCGCACTCTGGTCTACGGAGGGATCTTCATGTACCCGGCCAACCAGAAGAGTCCTAAGGGCAAGGTAACTCTCCTCTGCCCACTGCTGGAGCTCCCTCGCTCCTCCCGGGGGCTGCTGGGCTGCTGTGTGGCGTGTGTGTGCAGGGGAAGGGAAACAGGCTCGCTTCTGGGAGTTTTAAGGCCTTGGTGGAAGGTTTAGAGGAGGAAAAGGCTGACATTAGAGTGACTGGAGATTCTCACTGGGTTTCCCCTCCTCTGGCCTCACACCCATCCTTCATTCTCTGTGAGTCCACTGTGTTTTCCTCCTGCTGTCCACAGGCTGTGTCTAGCTTTTAGATTCAGCGCCAAATAATTTGGGAGCATAGACTCCCCAAGGAACCTAATGAAACCATCAGCCCCCTTCCCAGAGAAAGCAACGTGTGTGAAAACATGACATACAATTTCAGAGAACTCACAAACACCCCGGAGTCCATATAAGCATGCCCTAGAGAGTTGCCAAACTCAAGAACGGGAACTTCTCCTCAGAAGCCATCCAATAATTCTGGAAAAACAGCTCCTAAAAGATCTTGCTGAAACTTTATGACACTAAATCGAAAATACTTGTATTATCGGGGCAGTGCCTGTGGCTCAAAGGAGTAGGGCACCGGCTCCATATGCCGAAGGCGGCAGGTTCAAACCCAGCCCTGGCCAAAAACTGCAAAAAAAAAAGAAAAGAAAATACTTGCATTATCAAGTAGGAATCTTATGATCAGGCGAAGTGGTTACAGTCTGAGACTTTATTGCCTGACACCCCAAGCCTCCCCTGTCCTCCATCCCCCTGACCAAAGCTTGAACCCTTACCAGGCTTCAGGTCTCACATCTTAAAGCTTCTAACTGGGCCTGCAGCCTAAATTGACCTCATTGTTGAACCAGCAAGAAATGGGTGCCTACATGTCATATCTCATGTCAAGAGGCAGGTCTCATAACCACAAAGGCCACAAGACAGGTAGGGTCCCCCTGGCCAGAGAGACCCCGAAAGACCTCTGGGACAAGCATCAGCTGATGCCTCCAGCCTTCTTTAGGGTCTAAACCCTGAGCGGCCCACTCTCATGAGGCCTATGAACCAGGAGACAGACAGAAGGTCAGCAGCTGAAACTCCTCCTCAAGTTAGGGGCATGGCTTGGGATGTTTGGCCGCTTCCAGGGCTTATCCACCTGCCTCTGTTCCTCCACAGCTCCGGCTCCTGTACGAGTGCAATCCTATGGCCTACATCATTGAGCAGGCAGGTGGCTTGGCAACCACCGGCACCCAGCCCGTACTGGATGTGAAGCCTGAGACTATTCACCAACGAGTCCCCCTCATTCTCGGGTCCCCAGATGATGTGCAGGAATATCTAAGCTGTGTACAGAAGAACCAGGCGGGCAGGTAGAAGCTTGACCCCACACCAGCCCTCTTCTCTCCGCCTTCCACCCTGTCCTAAGCAGCCCAAATGAACGATAAACGGAGATGATGGTGATGAGAACACAAAGGCAAGTCCAGCTAGAACGGAAGAGCAAGAACAAACCACCAAAGACGGGTTTACAGTGCAGAGGCGATTCTGCAGTCAGTGTAAGGGGCTAAAAATAAAAACCTCCTATGTGAAAAGAACAACTTTGATTTGTCTCCTGTCCTGAAGAGCAGTAGATGGTCATATAATCTAAATCTGCCAACCCAAGTAATTAGCAGCTGTATACTCAGGGGCAAAAAGTTTATAAATCAGTTAAGAATGTATCTTGGTGGGCTGCAATTTGAACCTAGTATCTTATTCCATAGTAAGTAATTTCCTCCCTCCTAAATATATGTATAGAG